CACAGATTCTAGATATAACAATATAATGCCTAAACATACATAACAAATACAGCAACGATCTGCTGTGACACAGAAGCTGATTGTTCACTTGAAGAAGCTGTGATACAGAAGCTGATAGAGATTATATGGAGACGTTAACCTCGGAATTAAAATACATGGACTATATGTGCGATGGTCTACTGTATCTTGTAAGTTTTGCCAGTCTCCTGTAATGACATCACATAAATCAATTACATCAGATACTGTACAAGTAAATATGCATAAACAAACTTGTTTGGAATAACAGTTCAAGTCTCAAGAATTATAATGTGAATAAAGAAGTTTTAGATTTAAAAATCCATTGGCCAAATGTACTGTACTTGATGACTTCATGCTTCTTGCTGAATGGATGGAGCTGGGCTGGATTAGTTTGTGATCTGATTTAGCAGCTGCTTGCTCAGCCTGGGAATGTCCTGGTGCAGAGAGGAGAGAGAGAGAGCTTTTCCTTTTGCTGGGTCTCAGCAGTTAGCATTGACCCTCAGGCAGCTCTGCTAGAAGATAGTATGGCTGAACTTTGGTATTGAAAGTCTTTGCACAGTTTGTCTTCTTGGGTCTGGCCAAAAGTTAGACAGGTGAGGAGAAATTGGTTTGTCCTGACTGTAACTTTGTTTTGAATATGCAAGATGTTGACAAAAAAAAGAGTCCAGATGTCTTATTTTATTGATCAGGGGAAAATCTTCGTGGGTTTGCGAACACAAAGATTTTTGGACTGCTTCCAGTCACATGGTTGGAAAAGTCAGATTGACAGTTCAACTGGAGAGAGATGAGGAACCAATGAGTTAACCAACGATAAGAAGTTGGGTTCTCACTTTTAAGGTGCAACACCACAAGTTGGATATGCTATCAGGGATTGTTCTGATACCCACCTTGCAGAGTTCAGACCCCCGTTGTTGGATCTTCCTTTGGATGATCAACAGTAACCTTGGACTTGTGGTCTTTGGAAGAAAGATTACAGGTTTGAGTTCATCTATGCCATATACTGTATCATTAGAGGGTTCAGCATGGATACAGCTTTACTAACTCTCAGCTTTACTCGCAGTCCTGATCATTCATATTGCAGCTCTCTATATTATAGTAAGGTTTTCCAGCATTTCAGCTTCTCTTGCAGGCAGCGCTTTTAATCTCTCTTCACAAGTTCCTCTTTCTTCAGACTGATCTACTCACAGCTTTCTCCCCCGCCGATACTTGGGAACCTTGCAGCCTGTCTGCCTTGTACTCTAAGTACAACGCTCTCCCTCTTTTACTCTGGCCCGGATCTCTTTATCTGTCTCAGTTTCTCTCTTTAGCACATTCTCTAGCACTATATCTGTAACGGAACAGTTCTCTCCAGACCCTATGCAGACGACACAATCTGAAATAGTGAGGAAACACTGGGGAAAATGTCATGCAGAAATATGGGGATAAAAACAGGGGGGGCATGTCCGAAGTGCGCTGGTGCACGGGGGAGGTGTGGCCGAGGCAAACAGTCCAGTAGAAATCCAAAGGGGAAATCCAAAATGAAAGCAAAGGTCCATGGCCATGTAATCCATCCGAAAACCAGGGATTAAAAACAGGTGCCGGGTCAGGACCGGCGGGGGGAGCAGGAGCAGGAGCAGGAGCAGGAGCAGGAGCAGGAGCAGGAGCAGGAGCAGGAGCAGGAGGCTAAAAACATAACAGAGCCAGGTGCAACCCGGTCCCAGGCTCACACAATGCGGAGATCAGAGCCACAAGTGAAGTGAGCGCCTGGCTTATAAAGTTGAACTGAAACAGGGTGGAAACAGGGAACAGATGCGGGGGAAGAGGCAAACGAGGAAAGGCTGGAGTGCCCTTAAGAGGAGGGGTTTGCGATCGTGACAATATTACTCACTCTCGATGTCTGTGTTACTTCATCTGGTGCTTCCTCTGAGACCCATTGCTTCTCCCAGACTTATATCCATTAGTGAGACACACCTCCTCCTCATTTGAGCACCTGTTGCCAGGAACTTCTGTCACCTTCTCAAATAAGGGTGCAATTGAATTAAAGGGTGCAATTGAATTAAAGGCATGGCACTTCCAGGGACCCAGCCTATGAGGCTTCACACAAGGTACTAGAACTAAAGATGAGCAGTGATTAAAGACTGACTGTTAATATAATGGATGAAATGGATAATGGATCAAACCCTTTTAAGTATCAAAAAAGAAAATGCAAGTGTTTTAGTGTGATGGCTTGATAACTCTTTCTCTCTAGATGTGGTGAAGTGAAAAGTGCAGGAATAAGTGTAGTGTGATTACAGGGATGCAAAGAGTAACAATGCTGTCCTTCAAGAAAGAGATGGATAAGACACCAAAATTTTTGCATTTCCCTTCTTCCCTGGCAGTGATTTCCTTATTATTAAAGGCAACATGGAAACTTGTTAAGCAAACCCCTGCTTTCCTATTTTTTATTTCAAACTTACCATTGACACATCCCAGTTTCAAGGACTGAATATATTAATTTGTTTTGGAAGACTTGGGCTGTGTAGCACCCTGAACCCTGAACTCAAAGCAGTGTACTGTAGCACTCTTACAATGAGAAAAAGAAAGTTACTAACATGGAGCATATGCTAAAAGGTGAGGTAGGAAACAGAATGCACTTGAATGAGTTCAAGATAATGGCCAGTGGAAAATCAAGAACCTTTGTGATGCAAAAATGTGTACACAAGAAGCCTCATCTGCTTTTGAATTTTGAGAATTGTGTGTGGTAGGGGACTGTCTTTGTGTAATCTCCCACTCCACAGGCTGAATAAAGCTGGTTCTGTTGAACGCCTTCTCCCAGCTCTCGGATTCCTGGTTTGGATTCTAACAGTTCAGATATTTTTCCAATATTCTAATTTTTGCGAAATATTACAAAAGTAAACAAAGTTCCCGGGGCAGACCATGCACCTTTAATAGATAAGAGATAGAAAACCTAGAAATCTTGCAGAGAGGGAACAGGAAACAATGCAGCTCTTGCTAGGTAAAACCCAATACTGAGCTAAGAGTGGTGTGTCAGGCTAGTTTAAGTAGGCAGGTGAAAGAAGGTGTGCCTGATTAGTTAATTGGAAACTGCCCTGGAATGTGAAGGAGTTGATTGAGGGCGGTGAGTTCTCCGGGGGCGTGATGTAACACACCTAGTGTGGCTACAAGAGCCATAGAACTTTGGTGGCCTCGGGTATCAAGTTGTGTGGTTGGTACAGTGCCTTCAAAGACCAGCCTGCCACAGTGACTTTTACATAACCTTTTTCACTTCTTTATTTGAAACTTTAATGCCCTCTAAAGGAGTCTGACTATACCATACCATAAGCTCTATTTATATCCATTTCTGCTTTAGCTTGCTTGAAGTAGTCTAACAACTTAGTTACACATGTTGACGAACTCCTATAATCTTATTATAGAGATTATCACAGAAATAAATCTACCTGTTAAACTCTAATTGACCTCTCCTTCCCTTTACATGTAATAGAAGTAATGCTTGTTGGTCTATAGTTATCTGACTCAGTGCTATCCAGCTTTTTGTGGATTGGTGTTTTGTTGTCATTTTTTTTATTCCTTGGGTACAACTCTTGTTTTGGTGATGGTTTAATAAACCTAGATAATAATCTAAAATCCCTAATTTCTTTGAAATCCTAATGATTCCTAAGAAATTCCTGGGCTAAACTGAAACTTCCAAGCTAAACAGACTGCTCTAGGAATGAGACACTACAGAGGGGGACACGGATCTGACTGGGGGTTTCTGGTATTGTTTCTGAATTAAATGGAAAAAAAGTGTACTGTTTTGGAATTTGTTCACTCCATATGTGAAACAGACTATGCCTGAAAGGCTTTCCTAAAAAACTGATCCCCTAAACTAAGAACGTTCTCCCCAATTGTTTAGCATATTGATTCTGTTTCATGCGTGCTTTACCCTCTCTGTGTGATGAACACACCACTCATTTCAGCAGGCCCAAAGGACTTTCTTGTTTATTCTTTTTTCCAAGCATGATTTTAAACCCAAGGTTGAATTTACATTTTTTTAATTTGGTTTTCACTTAAAACATTAGAAACAATTTCATTAAAATTTCAACCCTCATGTCAGTTGCTGATTCCCAAAATAGTACTTCTTGATGGCTCTCAGTTGCACAGGCATTGGTTTTCCAGAAAAGGGGAACAAGTCTTGACATTTGAAATTGGTGATAGATTAAACTTTTGAACTGGGCCTGTATGGAGGGATATTCTGCTGTTTGCACTAGCTTTTTTTACTTTTAGACTTTTTTTTTCGGTCATCACAAAACACAATTGATAAATATGAATAAGTATAAAGTCTGCTAATTTACATTATTTTCCAGTTTGACACAGACGTCTTTGCACTAGCTTTAATAAAGTGGAAGAACTTGTAATTGTGGATAGACTTGACACTCTGCCTAATATATATAGTATACTTACAAGTACCCTATTGTATATGTACAGTCTTGTGTATTTCCATATGGCCATCCAGCTGAAGATTACCTTTTGCTGTATTACATGAGTAGTATACTGTACCATGCTTAATTAAGCCCCCTAAAATGTATCGTCCTGTGTAGAGGAAGAGGCTGAAGTCATGCTCTGCTTTCTTTGTGCTCTAGGTATGTATTGTTGTGTTTATTCAACAACAGAAAAGATCAAATGCTGAAACATCTTGCTGAAAAGATAACAAAGATGGTTATTGTCATGTTAGTAATTGATCTGTATTGAGTTTTTAATTTGAACAAAGAAGGGTGTTGTTTCTTGTTATTTTTAATTTCCCCTGGGTAATTTCCCCACTACCCATCACATATGCATTTTATCTGATGCATGTTGAATGCATCCTTTGTGCAGTAACATACTAAACTCTGTGTAAAATACAGTATTAACACTTCTTAATTAACAAGTATACTAACACCTTCATCCTGATTCATGGTCACAATAAGGCAAATGCGTTAATAGGATTTATGCTGAGTAGCTGTATAAATAGAAAGATCCTTGGTAAAGAATAGCACCGCACAGACTTGAATGCTTTTGCTGTTTTGGCGAAGGCTGAAGTTTTACAGTCTTGTAAGTAAGAAGTTGATACATTTGTTTTTAATTAGAGATGTGCCAGTGTATATTTCAGTAATGTAAATTGAAAGTTTAATTTGGTACATGTAAGCAAATAATAAATTAAAATACTTTTAGTGGAATTAAAAAATTAACTACTTATATCTGTTTAGTTATTATATTAGTTATTATTATAAGTAGATGTAAATGATAAGGAACATCTGACAGTGAGTCAATTAGTTCTGACTGGTAAATATTGTATGCTGGATCAGCACCTATAACAATTCATACTGGTTACTCATGTAAGGCTTACCTCTTGTTGTGATCAGAATTTAGAATATTTCAATCAATATGAATTTGTTTTCAAATAACTAGTTTGGTTTCCTCGCATTCCAAAGTAAGATGTATTCATTACAATCAAAGCTGTTATCGCAGTAGAATGTGTTAGTAGAAACTGAGTCAATATACATACTATAACTTCTTGTAACTACTGTCTGTATCCAAAATGTGTAAGGCTTTCTTTTTTGTTATGTATTATCTAAATTATGAAATACGTTGATGAAGCATTTTAAAAACATTGTGAATTAATAAAGGACGTCTGAATTATACAATGATGTAAATCAGTATTGAATTGCTGCTAGAAATGCACTTGTGACAACAGTTTATTTAGCACAGCTTATAAAATGGCAAGTGAACAATTTCTATTAGAATACAAACTTTATACAGTTAGGAAACACCCAAGTGATATATGTATTATATACAGTATGTAGTTCAAGTAGGTAGCTGCGTCATCATGCGTAGGCTGCAAAGAAAGAGGTAACAGGTTTATTCCATGCTGAAAAGAAAAGAAAGGAAATCCGATGTTTCGGCTCCACAGCCGAAACTTTGTTTCCTTTCTTTTCTTTTCAGCATGGAATAAACCCGTTACCTATTCCTATGTATTATATATTGTGTGTATAATACATTTTGGAAGGGATTGGATTGACTTTATAGAAATTGTAGGTTTGAGTTTCACCACTTGAGAATTAAAAAAATATATTGATATTTAAATATGTAATATGTAATTCTACTATCATCAGTGTATATACTGTGTATACATGTATTAATGAATAAACAAAAAAAGCTTGGGGCTTTAGATTTTCTGGGGGTCTAGTGTGTAAAGTGAACTTATGAATTCTTACATTTCCTTATCGGTCCAAATTGTGATATTTCATATACAAATAAGCCTCTGTCTGGTAACTTTAGCAGTTGTATTGATGTATTTGTTACTTAAAATATGTTAAGATCCTCCAGTATGTTGTTTTGGTTTTGCTAATCAGTTTTAATAAATATATACTCAAAGGCATAGCCAACATCTTCATTTACTGACAAAGAGTCACTGTTCTGAGGATAAGAAATGCATGAGACATTTAAGAACAATCAAAAGAATAATAGCTGCATTTTACAGCTTGACCAAAGTTGATGTTGGTGACCTACAGTAGTTTAAGGCTGATTTTGATCCTTAAATCGCATCACTTACCCACTTCCTTTTAGGAAAATACAATCTTCCTTTTGTCACACTTTTCTGATGGGAAATTTTTTAAACTCCGGAATAAACGGAGTAAAAAATAGTCAAATAGTACAAATTGGTACAGGGATGCTAAAGCTATTTCTTTTAATAAAAAAATCAATTCGAATAAGGTTAAAATAAGCATAATACAAGAAATGTTCAGACAGATACGATATACATTTCAGTAGTATTCTATCATTTAGGTCAGTTTGGATCGTGACCAAACATACTATAATCTTCTTTTTGCCAGGGTGAAGTAATGCTTTAGAATACAGCAGCTAACAAAAGCTCTATGTAATATTAAAAGATGGTGAAAGCAACATATATAAATGTTACTAATGTAGTTCAAAGCAATTTTAAATTATGTTCCAGGAAAGCAAATATGATAATACTCAAAAGGCAAACTCTTAAATGAATTTAATCCATTACAATCAGAGACAAAATGTTCTAGTCATTCGACAACAAAGCTGGGGCTTTGACGTTCAAACACGTCATCTCTAGAGTGCATACAGTGTATAGCATTTACTTATACAACAGTATTACATCCACAGCCGAAATGTTGTTGTCTTTCTTCTCTTTTCACCATATAATAATGGTGGTGGGGTTAAATCTTCAAATAAATTTGGTTCTGACACTATTCTAAAAGATTAAATTATTTAACTTCAAATAGCAAGGTACCCCACCTGTCAGGACATACCAAACAAAGTCAAATGGTTTCTTTTAGCCTATGATTGTTGGCAAGCTGTGGAATAAACAGATTAATTAAAAACAAATATTTCTTTAAATAAAATGACATGCTACTAAATATACTAAACACAAAAATGTCATGATAAACAAAATTAATTTTGGCATGTAAAATTAACAATTTTACATTAACATTAACATTAACATACAGATATGTTTGTACAATAATATAGTGTCCAAAGGGTTACTGTATCTGTCTCTGAACATGATGCATCAAAACAGCAAATTTAGTTGCCAGATTCAGGGAAACATTTTCAAAACTATATAAAATACAGTTACTTTTGTAAATGCATTCAAAGTCACGTTGGTGCCAAGGGTCTAGTACCAGATTTACTTTCTTTTACTTTCATTTACTTTTTTTTTTAACATTTATAAAGTATTGCTAAAGTCATAAATGCATCATTATATCTCTCATCAATGTTAAGTGATGGAACGGCCTTCTACCCCTGCACATTTTGATGCAATTACTGGAGTAAAGAGGTCATTTAATATCACTGCCTATTGGCAGTGTTCAGTGGTGCAGACAACATGAAATGAAAAAATAAGCAAGAAGTTAGGATTTTAAATATGTTTATTGTAAATGACATAAACTTTAATATATCCTCTTGAGAGATAAATATAATTAAGCAATATCCCCAACAGTATTTATGTGTATCATTCTAACTACGTGTTGAAAAAACTGCATTAAAAAAACTGTGAGCAAATACAAACCGACAGCCTCTCTTTTTTATTTCAGTATTCCACATCTTAAATTTTCTCAAGTTTCAATTGGAGTAGCTGAGATCACTGAAAATGAGGTGGCTGCTGGTCTTGGTGATGTGTTCGACATTACTTGGAGTTCTTCAGAGCATCCCCAGGACAAATCAGGAAGGCCTGTCCAAGGACACTCTTAAAAGTGAGTTAAAAAGATTCATTCATTATAAAGCTAGTTAGTGCCTCTCATCTCACAGGTTATAAAATGCTTACATTTATAGAACCAGTTGTGTTCTCAACTGTCTAAACATGATCTGTCACAGGAATTTGGTAAAGTGCAAGCAATGGAAAATGATAGCGTTCCTTTTTATAATTCAGAGTTGTCGAAAGACGGGCAGAAATATGTGGATGAGGAGATGAAGAAGGCTCTGTTTGGGGTGAAGCAGATGAAGGACATCATGGAGATGAATGAGGAGAAGCACGAGCACCTGATGTCCTCACTGAGGCACAGCAGTGAGAAGAAAAAGGTCTGATGCCGATACCACCAAGAGGAAAACACAAATGCAGGACATGGCATGATTGTTCAGTCAGATCAGTCTTCCCTTCCCAACAAATTGCCACACATCACTTTACAGAAAGATGTATAACACAGGTATATGAGACCACTGGTCATGCAGGAGGGAGAAAAACACATAAAAATAGAAAATCTGTTTTCCAAGGCCTTCTCCTCCAGGCAATGAGTCCTGGAAGTTTACAAAAAAGGCAGGTTCCAGATTATGGTTAAATTCTTGAATACTTCATGGGGGTTTGACACAGATGTATTTTAAAAATATAAATATTCAATTTTATGCAGTTCAACTACTTTGAAATGCTCAGTACCAATGGGGGAAAATGAATGCTTATAAAAGGGATCTTCTTCTTTCTTCCACTAGGGGGCAGTGCAGCTTGCCAAGGAGGTAGAGCAGCAGCTGGGGGTGGCAGAGCAGCACTGCCAAGCCTCCTTAAGGTCTGCCTGGGAGGAGTGCAGGCCCTGCCTGGAACAAACCTGCACCTCTTTCTACACTTCCAGGTGTCGCAGGGGCTTCTCCACATTCACAGCCAAGGTACACTGGCTACTGAGAAACACAAAACATCTCCGCATGTGTAGGTGTTCGGGTGGGGGACTGTGCCAGTGTGCAAATAAACAAGTACTGTAGAGCTTCTTGTTAGACATTAGGTCTAAATAAAAAGAAAGATAGTAAAATACTCTGCATTTTAGCCATGGAGCCTTTGTTACTTACAGTATGAGCCCTGCTGACCCACCTGAAGAGGGTTCCAAAAGAATCACTTTGTGGATATTTAATGTACTGTATCTGTTAAATTCATTAATAGCAACAGTTCATATACATTACACTAACAGATTTATCCAAGATACCTTACATTCAAAATAGAATTACAGACCTCTTTGTGTCTATGCAATGTACAAGTATAAAGATATATACTTCAGTGCTTCATCTACATTTAAGTATAAGAACAAAATAATCAGTACAAAATAGAGGAGTTTGATCTAGACTGTTTGATATTTAAGTATAATTTTTAAGGAACTTGTTTTTTAATCCAAAACATAATATTCATTATCTTCATGTTATGACACCTCTTTATTATTTATTTGAAATTAAATATTGTATTTGTTTTATTAGATATGATACAACTGTAATTTTATTAGGGCTAACATACCCAAAGATGTAAACTTTCAAGTTCCTTTGCAGCCTACACATGCTTACGCAGCTACCCACCTATTAAAACACAATGAGGATCAGTTACTAATGTTTTCTACTGCTGCCAGAAGTGGTTACGAGATTTTTTTCCATCCACAGGTTGAAGAATTCTTCAGTAAAATGTCATCCCAGTTTAGCTCTCATGACAACCAGGATCTTCTTTTTAAGCAGAGCCCAGAAACTTTTGACACCGAAGTGGCCCAGATTGAGAATTCTTTTCACCAGCTGCTCTCAGAAGTAAACTCTCTTTATGAGAAAAGTGTGATGCTGGTCACCAAGATGCAAAAGCAGTTTGACCAAGCCCTCCAGGCAGCCTTCACCTCTGACCTGAGATCAAAAGAACTTGTGGAAAAACCCCTATATCCCTCTCAGCAGACCCCTGACTCTGGATTCTTTGAAGGACTAGGCCTGGAAGATGTTCTTGAATCCTTCTTTGATTTTGGGAGGAATGTTTTTGAAGAGTTCAGCTCTGTCATAACTCAGGCCTTTGGTGATCTTCAGGAATCAGTTACTGAAGAAACAAACAGAGAGAAAGGTAATTAGGCTTTATTTTCTTCAATAAGAACTAGAATTATCAATTATTTCCCCCCTCCACTACTGTATCTGCCTATTTCAAATAGAAAATGACTTTTTTCTCTAACTTATAGTATGTGTAAGGGATAGCTACAGGCAATTTATTGCACACTCGTTCATTCAAGTGTATTGTAGCCAGATTAATTGCTTTAAAACACAATGTGCCAATAATCATATTAGGAACTGGATTATACAACTTCACTCACTGCAACAACCCCAGAACCAGCTCATGAAAGACGATCCTTTGAAATGTGGTGAATGTGGTGGGTCATGCCATCCACTTAATTTCAGCACTGTGAACCTGGAACAGAATCAGCATGACTTTAGAGCCAATAGAAGTTCAGTCAAGCCCTCACTGACAACAGCACAAACCTACAGGCACACATCCAGTGACAGGGATCACTATGGCCAACCCAACTCTTTGTCAGAGTTAAATATTATTTCTGTGCTAATGACATACAAAAAGGGTACACAAAACGGCCTGTATTTGATTTTTCTTGTTGTGGATGCCCTACAGAAGGAGAGTTGTCCCTGCAGGTACTGCCATCACAGAGCAGACAGCTGTGCCGGGACCTGCACAGACAGAGCTCTGAGTGTTGGCAGTTTCAGAGCAGGTGCCAGTCATGCCAGAAGGCCTCACAAGGTATGGGAGAACAATTATAATAAGAGATACACAGTGTTACACTCCAGTCCAGACCAATGGCTTGTTTCCAGTTTGCCATTCACACTCAGGTTCAGACTAACTGAGGTCCACACAATTTGATTCTGTAAACTTCCACCCATTTTATTAAGATCTAACTTAAGTAAAAAATAACTTAACTTAATACAGTACTGTATTTTAGCAATCTTTTTAATTCTAAAACAAATACATTTGGCACATAAAAATCTTGTAGAAGACAGACTTATTCTGAGAAAACAGACACTTGTAGAGTATCATAAAAGAGGTTAAGGAAAAAAGTCTGATTCACCTGAGGTGGATTCAGGTGGAAAATGACTGGCTGTGTCATTTATCCTGTGAGGATCAGCTTCTGTATCAGTTTTACACATTAAGACCTGTTTTTCATTCGGATTGCAGTTGCAAGTCCTTTGCTTTCATATACCCGATGGCTCTGTAGTAGTGTATAAGTAGAAATAAAATGAAAGCAAAGGACTTGTAACTTAAAGGGTTTGGGACAGAAAAATAGAAGATTGTTATAACTAAAAACCCATCACCAAACACTGACAAGTGAGATGGGCAGTTCGATGCTGGATCAAGGTCCTGTTTAAATTCAGGCTTTAGTTACTTAATAATAATGGGATATCTTTGAATGTTTTTATTGTGCAAGTGTTTTAAGGGATGAAGAGAGTACTGAGTAATGTGCACACTAGAGCAAAATGTTCTGAAAGGGTCCTTATGATATCACCAGTCATGCAGCAGTCATATGCTCATATTAACTCTTATGAACAGTTACCTTCATAAAAAACTGACAAATAAGATATTGGTCAATTAAAGAGGAGACAGAAAGAGGAGAAGAAATGTATAGCCTCAAATTGCTGCACTGTTGGCAAAGGTGTTAGTTGAGGGAAAATGTTCATCAGAGAAGCAGGATACAGTTTTGTGTGCAGATTGCATTTTATTGAGCCCAATAAAGACAGCAACATGCACTGGGTCTGCCCTGCAAAACAAACTGCAAGTGTTTCCCAGCTCTTGTATACAGTACATGGGCTCAGAAAGAAGTTTCTTTCAACTTTGAATGTTTGTCCTATTTTATGATCTGTTGTTTTGTCCTTCCTTATGTGACAAAAGATGGTTTCACACTTTGAGTGTTAGTCACTCCAATAGATGTGATTACTCCTGTTCTCAACACCTTGTAAAAGGAAATTAGTTACTGCAGCTGTTAAAGCAAGTCGCCTTTATTCTGTCGTATTATACCTTTTGGTAAAGGCTAAATTAACAGATCCCAGCAATTACTGTAATACCTTCCACAATGTGGTTCAATAGTAATATTGTAGTGCTGTATACATTATGTGCAGTATAGATATACTGTAGATCTTACTTCAGTTTTGATGAGGAAGATCTCTTTTAATTTAAAATGGCATGGTCATAGTTTTTTTTCTCTGTACTATACCAGTAAAGAACCTCAGATTTCATGTTTTCCCTGAACAGAGTGCCCCAGCGTGACAGAGTTGCACTCTGAGCTGAATGAAATCTCCTACCTGGTTAATGTGTCCAGCCAGCAGTATGAGGAAGTCCTTCAGATCCTGCAGCACCACACAGAGGACACTGTGGGCTGGTTGACAAACATGGCTGCCTACTTCGGCTGGGTGGCCGAATTGGCAAACAGCACTGTGGAACCTGAGAGCGTTTTCACCATCACCACGGTAACAATGAACTAAATGTTAGTGAAATATGGGGAAGAAGGACTAGCTAGTAACCCACATAATTTAGACTGAAATGAAGACTGAAGTAACAAATTGTTCAAAATTGATTTAATAAATCCTGAGCAGAACAGACATAAATTAATATATATTACAGGTTTTGGAAGGTGAAGGCAGAAGAAATTTTAGTAAAATATTTTTTTTAAATGTGAAATCTAGAATTTTTGATATACCAATTAATTTTTTTTAATTATAGACATTCAAATATGTAGTTGCGCCAGCATGCAGAGGCTGCAAAGGAACAGGTAAAGGTTTATTCTGTGCTGAAGAAAGGAATGGAAAGAAGCACACTGTTTAGGCTGTGGAGCTTTCTTCAGGTGTAAGGGAGAGAGAAAAAGTAGCAAATAAATAAGGCATAGGAGAACAAAAGACAGATATGTGATTCCCAATTGTGTCTTTACATGCCAAGGTCCTTTTCAGGCTTCCATTTAATAAAAAAGAAACATAATTTGAGAACAAACAATAAAGTAGTCTTAGTTCCCATTCCATTTAAATAGGTTTCCACTAGGTGGCATCACAGTACTATAAATATATTTTAGGATCATCAAAGACAGCGCTAATGTATTCTTTTATTTTAGCAGGAGCTACCTTTGCATATCTCTGTCTCTGGTGTCTATTCACAGGTGGTGCCACATCCCCAGGATGGAGAGAGTAACTTTGATTCAGACACAACTGTGGAAGTCAACATTCTCAACTCGCCTACATTTACCCTAAGTGTTCCCGGAGATCTGGAAATACAGGACCCTGACTTTGTCAAATATATTGCACAGGAGGCACTGGGGATGTACAAACAGCTGGTTAGGTATGCTCAGTCACACAGTACCCTTCCAAAATGTTTATCAAGGAGCTGTGCTTAATCACATACAGGAGCTCCAGTCTGAACTAATATCCCTTTACCAGCACAAATCTGACTGGTCATGAAAATGATCAACCAAGTTGAGGCTAGCCAAATTTATAGAAACACAGTAGTGGAGTGAGTAATCACCAAAGGGTCTTTTTAGCCTTGTGACAGTAAGTCACACCAAGTGTACCCAATGGACATGGTTTATCAAGATCTTCACATGAAGTTTCTAGAACTACAATGATAGTCATAAAACATATACCATATTAACAAGTTTATATTACTTTCTCATAATGAGATATAATTAAAAAGGATTAAATGTTGCTTTTTCTGCTTTCTTGTGTGTTTGCAGGCAAGATGCTGCTTGAAGAGACCTCTATGGGAATATCTTCATCCTTCTTTAGAATATAGAAATAATGAACCTTACTTGTGTATTTTCTCAATATTATCATGGTACAGTCACTGTATTGTTCTAAGCTGATAATATCATGATAATTGGAGAGTGTGAAAAAATGGAGAAGATATATACAAGAAATGTGTTTAATGATAAATTATTAAATACATGTTGTTTTGTCATGATATGATAATAATATGTATATAATTTAAATATGTATTGTTGTTTTTCCTAAAATAAATTTTCTCCTGTACAAAAACATCTTGTTATGAGTGGCTAGAAATGATCACTCTTTTTCAAGGATACTGCAGTTCAAAACGGTTCTTTCTTATTTTGTTAACACATGTGATATATACTGTATAACGCCAAAAGTTCGCGCGAGGGAAAAATTACATTAATGAAAGCTATGCAACGAGATTTATTTTTCGGTTAACGTGAGGAGACGTTAACTTCGATAAATCCTGCATAACTGGAGCAGCTTCTGCAATGTTTTCCTGCTTCTGCGAGTGGAACCCCTGCCCTGTTTACCCTTGTTTTCGGAAATGATGTCAGCTCTAGCCCCATTGGGAGGGAAACTGACGAGTGGCGCCTTAATTTTAAATTCCGCGGGATTTTGTCATTAACAGAGTATATTTAGGTGTTCACATAAAACTGCGCAAACTAATCAGATTGTGCATTTAGAAGTATATTACTTGTTGCAGCGGAATTGTAAGATAAATCCCTTTAGCGCTTTAGTTCTTAAAATATAAAGAAAAAGCTAAAATGCCTGCTACTGCAGAAATAAATTGCGAGGGAGCTGCTCGTCCTGAAGCCAGCGACAAGGATCAATGTAAAGCGTGTTGTCAGACAGAGATCCTTCATGTCGTTTGTGACGAGAGAGCTTACCTGAATCAGGTGGAGTATATTCTTAAAACTGGAGCCCGGAAAGGCGATCGGACCGGGACAGGAGTGATCTCAGTGTTTGGCTCACAAGCGAGATACAGCCTTCGAGGTAAGTAATTTATTATTAATGTTATAAAAAAAAAATTAGGATGCACAATGTTTCAACTTTTTTTCGGTAGTTTAAAACATTTAGCCAAAATTAAAAACCCTTTTCCTCGAGAATATACTTTATTTAAAAGTTGTCATGTTAAATTAAAAATTCAGCAGTCACGCAAAATATCTCTGTAGTCAATTTTTTTCGACGTTAAAATAGTATATCTAGCTATATAGATAGATATTTTTATAGATATTTTAAGTATACTGACCTTGCGCTTCATAAACTCGATCGTTTTTAGCGAACCGTCTTGGTCACTTGATCAAAAACACAGGGAATCAATAGAGGTTCGTCGAGGGATAAGCATAAGTATTTGTTGCAAATGCTTACATATTTGTACATTAAGGACTTTAAAAAGCAAATTATGTGCCTTTTAGCAAATTGTTTCTATTGTATAATTGGGATATGATGTATTGGCATAATATACTGTAAAATAACAATTGCTTTTCTACTTATTTCTGCAAAAACAGCATAAACAACTTGTATAAGACCTAAAACTAACAGGGAAGCAGTGGAGCTGCTTGGTAAAATCATTCACCTTCCTTATCTCGCATTGTAAATTAATTACAGACTGGTTAATTAAACTAATTTGCTTACTTTACAGATCAGTTTCCACTGTTGACTACAAAGAAAGTATTCTGGAAGGGAATCTTGGAAGAGCTGTTATGGTTCATTAAGGTAAAATAGTTTTATTTCCTTAGTATAGTATGTGCATAATGTTTGGGTTTTACTGTAATTACCATCCAGATTTTGGCTCTTGTTTCTAGGGCTCTACAAACTCCAAGGAGCTGTCCATGAAGGGAGTCAAAATCTGGGATGCAAATGGATCCCGGGAGTTTTTAGACAAGAGTGGCTTTACCTCCAGAGAGGAAGGTGACCTAGGGCCAGTGTATGGTTTTCAGTGGAGGCACTTTGGAGCAGAATACAAAGACATGCACACAGGTAAAGCAAAACTCTCGGGCTACATACAGTATCAGAAGCTTTGCTTTCTTATTAAGGCCATGTTATACAGGATCATGTCCTATACATTTAAATAAGTCATTTAACTAAAAGATGCTGTTCTTTTTAATTGATAACTAAACAGCTGGGACCATGGGAAAGAGGTGAATAACAAGATTTTACACTTCAACTAAGGTACAGTTCTGAAATATTATTTAAAATAAAATCAGAAGGTTTTGTTTTATATTCATACTTGAGTGACTAATATCCTTTAACCTGAATTCTGTTCCTAATGGTAATATTTCATACAGGTAGTGGACAAAAAATATAAACACCTGGGTAAATGAGGCACACCAAGTACAGTATATTGAAAGCAAGGTCTTCCACACAGGTCTGGCTCGTGCATTAATTAAGCAAATAACCCTACAGTAAGTATGCTGGGAAGTGATGAGTAAAAATGCTAGAAATGCTGGACAACCAACTGGCATTAGTCAAGAGGAAACCAGTACATGTGAAAGATGGGCACATTTGGCAGGAGTTTCAGTGATCATAAAAGCTCAGCCTACTGATGTTTCATGAGCAATGATGATTAAGGTGATGTCTTGATGGAAAGACATTATCTGCAAATAGTGGGCTGAAGCACATACTCCAGGATTGTGATATCTGTGCATTATTTTGAGAAGCAAGGCAAAACAGGGAAGCAACTGCAGATCAGACAACTACAAATTTCAACCTGGAACACAAGCAACCAATTCAATCAAAACTGGTCTGCCAAGAACTCCCAACGAGCAGAACACTGTGTAGGGTTGCAGCGCACATGACAGCTGACTGTGCACGCTTGCAAGTCCAGTGCTGCAAATTACACAGGCATTGGACTTCTGACCAGCGACAAGAGTAATCAGGTCAGATGAATCCTGATTCGCCAAGTTCTTGACAAACGAACAAGTGCTCATGTTGCACAAACCAGGTAAAGAACTCTACACCCCTGAGTGCTTGCTTCCAACAGTGAAGAGTTCTGGTGGTTCTGTAATATAAGGGCCAGTTTCCTAGCATAGTAGTATAAATTAATTCTAATCACTGTTTATGGTACTGATTGATCATCTTCCACAGAGCATGTGTGATCTCCCAGTGGTTTGATGAACATGATATTAATGTTATGCATATATAAAGGCCTTTTCAGTCACCAAATGTGAACCCATCTGAGCATTAATGGGATATACAGTACTGATGCCTAAAATAGTTTTTTTACAACCATTAACCAAGTGTGAGAGAGGGGTGCTGCATCCCTCCTACAGAATTCCAGACACCAATAGATTCTGTGCCACAGCCCATATAATTTGTAGTAACTGCACATGGTAGTCCAGCTCTGTACTGACTTTACTTAAAGTTAACTCTGAGATTTCCATCTTTATGCCCACTACGTGTGTATACTGTATACATAGGGTAAAAGTCCTCTTAAGCAGAGAAAATAGTCTGGTACCATTATTGAGATGCTGGACTAAGTTATAAGACATACTCTCTAATTGCTGTTGTGTTTTCTATGCAGATTACACAGGGCAAGGCGTGGACCAACTACAGAAGGTCATAGAAACCATCAAGACCAATCCTGAGGACAGACGGATCATCATGTGTGCTTGGAATCCCAAAGGTATTTCCTGTCATCTGACTACATGCTTTGACCTGTACCCCTACAAATACATTGATCAGTAATATTTGTGAATACATTTACAGTACCTGAAGAGAATCAGACCAGAGAGATTCGTGGCTCCTGAATCAGGAGTAGAAAAACACTGTTCTACTTACAGCACATTTTCTTTATTCCCTTCATGAGACTAATTTCCTTTTTTACTCAGATATGCCTAATATGGCTCTTCCTCCCTGTCACGCCCTGTGCCAGTTTTACGTGTCCAATGGTGAATTGTCCTGCCAGCTCTATCAGCGCTCAGGAGACATGGGGCTGGGTGTGCCATTCAACATTGCCAGCTATGCGCTGCTCACATACATGATCGCTCATGTCACTGGGCTGAAGGTAACCAGCAGGGGGGGTGTCTGCACTATATTCTTACAAGACAGTGCTCTTCAGCCTGGTTCAAGTGGAGCCCAGATCCTTCTAATCTTTTTGTAGGAATTGTCTTAAAGTGTTTAAAGAGCATGTTGAGTTTGAATAGTGAAGTGATCAACCAGAATGGAGTTAACCAAGGTTAAAACAAGTTAAAACATATTTTCTCAGGTACTGTAGATGAGAGATGTGGGATATCAGTCTGAGATTTAGCCATACACATCTTGGGATGAAAATATGGCATGTTTGTTTCATTGTCCCTGAAATCTGTTTTATTAGATTAAAAGATCCTTTTACAGTGAATTTTAGGAATTTGACTAGCAAGTGCTATCTGTTAGACATTTATGAAAATATACACAGACTGATCCCAATGGAAAGATGCGGTAAGCCCTTAGCTGGTCAGAAACAAGATGCGATGGATTTATTGTTACTTTGAATTAAGTAAATAGTGATTTATTTTTATTATATTGTTCATCAGATATGTTTATCCAATAAACTATTTTGTGGTGTGCATTTAATAAAGTGAAAAGCAGCTTGATTATTAAAATTATTTTTGTTTTCCCTAATATGTAAAGACATATTTTAACTTGATATTAATTATTCTCCTTTTGTCTATTTGTTCCTTAGCCTGGTGATTTCGTACACACTTTGGGAGATGCACACATTTACATCAACCACATAGAGCCTCTGAAAATCCAGGTAGGTTATTTGCATTCCTCTATAATGGTTGTTGTGCGTCTGAATCAAGCTGCCAAACCATGTTGTTTTGGATCAATAAGATTCTAGCAACCAAACAAGTACAGTGGGTTTGTTGTAAACTTGTTCTAAAAAGCATACAACAATATCTGTTATTATTGAGAGACAAGCTGATATGAGTCATATAGATGCGTTCATCTGTACACTGCACATTGCTATCTCACTGCTGCATCAGATTAAGATTGATTATTGCTGTAACTGAGCACAATACAGAACATTAATTCCCAAGCCTGATATTCATGGATGGCTGTCTACATTTTGTTCTAACCAAAGTCTAAATTTTGGAGGTTAATCAAACATTTTACATAAAATATTTGAAAAGATTTGATGGACAATATATGGACTTCATGGACAATATTTGATTTTTATTTTAACTTTATTTTGTAATAGATTTTTGTTTCCTAAGCAATGCATACAGTATGTCACAGATGTAGTTCTGACACATAGGACTTGATGGTAAAATCCTTGAGAGACAGTGAGCACTTCACTGGGAGTTTCCAGTATTTTGAGTCTTCTAGGTGGGGGCTCGGAGGCTGAGGATACTATATATTGCTTCATATTTTTTTAATAAGAAGTTAAAAGAATGAGAATTGCACAGAATATGTTCGTGCTTTCAAAAACCTGACTGGAATAGAGAATGCACACATCTAGAACAACACTAACAAACTGTCTCTATAACCATAAATCCAACTGTTATATTGAGTCCCTGAAAGGAAGCTCTTTTTTTTTGTCTTTATACACGGTGTGTATAGGATGTGGTGTAATTAAAGTGTCCATTCCTACAGCTGCAGAGAGAGCCCAGACCCTTCCCTAAACTGAAAATCCTGCGCAAAGTGGACAACATTGATGACTTCCGGGCTGAAGATTTCGAAATTTGTGATTACAACCCCCATCCAGCAATTAAAATGCAAATGGCAGTTTAACAATAACACTTCCATGATTACCTAGGATGGGTTTCTCTTTTCATATGTTCTTTGGTAACATGATTTTTTTATTCTATTGCTATTACTGTCTATTAATAGCAATGTCTGCTCTTACTAATGTTATTTATTTGTATCATTCAGCTTTGTGTTCTGTTGCAAATAATACTACTTAAGGTCTCTTTAAAATGTGCAAATTAACATGTTGACATTTTTCTAATAAAGATCATTTTAATATTAATTTCAGAATTGATATGATTGAGTAGAAGGTATAGAAGTTATTTCTGAATTAAACAACGCTAAAATAAGCCTTATTGCTAAAACCATTTAAAGTTTGAAAAATATAATGATACGGATACATCTTAGTTCATGGTTTGATTCAGAGCATATTTTATCTAAGGTGCTAGAAAGCGAGTTAATACAAATTTAGCATTCAAGAGACTATCAGACAGACAATACATTCTATAGAGGCAATTTGATCAAACAAGACACTTCCATTTTTAGTTTGGATTGAAAATTCTTAGAAAAATTGTGTACACTTCATAAGCAACAAAGTATTGTTAGTAACTGCTTCTTCATCTCTAGTTTCCGTCTACTGAACCCTTCGACTAGCACGGAGCTCCCGCCAGACCTCTCCATCAGGAAATTGATGTCTCTTCGCTGAGTCATCCTTCATTTCTGTGGAATATCCAGGATTCTGCCAGGGAATGAAATAATTGCATGTTTGAGTCCCACAGCAGTTACAGTATGTCAAGTTGATGTCAAGGGGGAGAACTAAATGAGGTTTAACCCTTTATATCCTATTATTTCTATTCCTGCTCTTTCTCCATACATTTTCTAACCGCTTCATCCAACACAGGGTTGCCGAGGAGCTGGAGCCTATCCCAGCAAGCAGAGGGTGCAAGACAGGATAAACCCTGGACAGGGCCCACACAGACACAAACACACACACTCACACCATGGCCAGTTTTCCCAGAATTACCGGAATATATTGGAACTGTGAGTGGAAACAGGAGCACCTGGAGGAAGCCCATGCAAACAGAGGAAGAAATAGAGACAGCAATGATAATGACGGTGAGCTGTGAGAACATTTCTTTCTCAGACTCTCAGCTCAAACAACTGATCCAAGGAAAGGACCAGACTTGTATTTTAACAAAATGTGAAAACAATAATAAACACACCTTTGGTGGCATATAGGAGGCATTTTTAATCACCACAGGGTTTGTAAAATGTTCATGAAGATGATCAACGTACTCGCACATCCTGCAAATAAGAACACTAGTTTATGACAGGACATTGAAAAGAGTTAAAAAAAAGAAGCACAGCATCTGTATCTAAATATATGAAATGAAATATAGTCCAAATATTAAAGTATTTTCAGCCATATCTGTTACAGTTAAGACACTTGGAATTCACTGCAACTGGTTTAATCAATCCAGTATAATCAATTCCTTGGGAGAAAAAAGCCATAATAGCTATAGTACAGAAGAAATAATTAAATCTAAAGTAAGTAAAATATAGGAAGTAAAGAACTAACCTATTTTCCAGGCTTCCTGATACAGCAATGTAGTCGAAAAGTATTAAATGCTGTACAAGCTCACAGAGTCCAACTCCACCAGCATGGGGACACACAGGAACTATAAGAACAGGTCCA